GCCAGAGCAACCCCTTTTAGGATAAAATAGGCATATGGCTGGGTAGAGGAATGGGGCCACACTGGAATCTTGGAATTTCCAGAATTAGGAAAAAGGGCTTCAAAGCATGACAAGATAAGAGGAAGCCAGGTTTTCAGGTAGAAACCGATTTAAAAGGAAAAAAAAAAAAAGACTAAAATCCTTCCAGATGCCCCATTCTGTGCGGAACCCAGTTATCTTGAAATCTCTTAGGCAAGTCATGAAAAATAGAATATCTCAACCAACCAAATTTAAAACCCGTAGTAAACTACCTGGAATAAGGTAATGTAAAAAAAAAAATGTAGTGACTCCCTAACTGTTGATGTTAGATATAAAAAGGGATGAGAATTCAGTGCTGAGTTCTCACCTTAGCGAGGGGATTTCTAATTCTTTTTCAACAGGGCCGTTTTTTTGTTGTTTTTTTTTGAGGAAAGTAACTCACTCTCAATGACATCTGTGGAGGTGAAAATTCACCCTGCGGTAACGCTTGCTCCTCCTGCAAGTAATTTACCTTGTGGAACCTTCGGGGCAACTCTTTAATGGCCACTGTCAAAATAACTTCTAAAGCACGTACCAAAAGCTGAAAGACACCCGGGCCCCGCACCCCGTACACTGCGGCTTGGTTTTACTGACAAAACCGAACTTTAAAATCGTTTTCCCATTTATATCTATCCCGAAGCATTCATAAACGAGGAGTGCGTACTTAAAGCACAATTACTACTTATCCCACAGGGAGAATCTATACGGCTTTCCTCGCCCAATAGGTTGGATCCCCCTTCTTTCCACGCTGCTGATTCTGAGGTACAGAATATGGGCCTGGGCTGTGTGATGTAAAATAGAAAAATAAAAATAACCGTCTCTGGAAAGCTTACGCTTGCACGACAATTAGCCCACGCTGCCTCGGATGTCTAATGTGAACTCGAACCAGAGCAAACGGGTCATGTTTTCACAGCCAAACTCGCACGTCACACGAACCGCTTTCTCTCTGCCCGAAGGAGCAGCCTGTTGCTGAATCCTTTTCTAGGCTTTGGGTACAGATGATCTTCCAAATTAAACGACACAGGTGTCTGGACGTCATTATGAGTTCCCGGAGCAGGAACAGCGGTGGTGCTAAGTGAAGATTTCACCACCTCTTTCCGGCGTTCCACTATAACAGGAACGTGTTCAACTGATAGCTGAGTGGAAACGGTAATACTTTTTTTTTTTGGGTGAAATTAAAGTTGGCAAACTTATTGGACGAGAAATCAAATGATGACTCACATCTTGTTCTTTGCCCGAAAGGATGAAGTTATTTATCAAAACCCACACGTAGCCAAAGGGGTGGCCGGGTTTTCACACCTATATTTAAAGCAAAAATCAAATCCTGGACAATTAATAACGCCCGAAGGAATGCTCTTTAGTGTGGTGTACAGAAACGCGTCATTTTGACACATCCGATTTTAACGATGTTTTACTAACGTGTATCAACAGATCTGGGAAGGGACCATTGAACAGTCAGCACATTTATCCTTGCACCAAAATTTCAACACCTATTTGCAGGCTAAGGGTCCAAGAAATCTCGTGGAAAGATCCCACGAAATCCAATGGTGACTTAAAACAATAAACAAGGAATAAAACAGCACCAGGGTGGGGGGGTAGGGGGAAGGATCTGCCAAATGCTGTTTTTTGATTCACTTATGGTCAAGCCAGAATCTTGGTCGCTTTGATGAGAAGAAATCAATTTTTTAAAAAAAACCCAAACAACTGTTGCTAGATCTGCTCTGTGGACCCCAAGCTGTAGTAACACATGTTTCCCCTACACACACTCACACCCCCTGACAGCGATTCCCAGGACACCAGTGGGGCCTCTTGCAGGCCCCTTAAGTGTTAACAGCAGAGGCCTGGCTGCGACCAGGCGTCTGGCCTGATTTAAACGCCCGGTCCTTCAGAGGCGCGCGGGGAGCGCGCGGCCATAAAACCGGGGGACATTACTGAACCTTAAGAGGGTCTGATCCTCCCCCCTCCCTCTCCCTCCCACCCCCCCAAACACACAGCATTTCACTCCCACAATTAAGGCTGTTCGCGGGCATTCCATTGCGCTGTCAAAGTCAGGCCGGTGGCAGCCGCGCAGCCACAAAGAGATGCCTTAAATGAGAAGAACATGTTCCTACACCGCGTCGGAGAAAGTTTGGCTCCGAGCTATGCACTGATGAGTATCAGATCTCCTCCTGCCCTCGCCTCTCCGCGATCTTGTCACATCTGGATGACAAATCCCCAGCCTCTC